CCTTGCAAAGAATCATGATTAAAAAAAAATCATTATTATTTTTAAAAACCTAGAATGTATCCTCTTAGAAGGCGTGTCTCTATGAAAACATAGAAACTGCCCTGTACAGGTTCAGGCTTCACAGATAAGGCTTCTTCTATCCAGAACTGTACTGTTTCCATTTGAATCATTTAAATTTCCATGAATTAAAATTAAATGAAACTTGACGTTCAGTTCTTCAGTCACACTAGCTGTATTTCGAGTCCTCAAGAGTTGCATGTGACTTATGGCTGCCACACAAGAGAAACCTCCATCTCTAGAAGCTCTTCTGGAGAAAAAGTAGGAAATAAAAGAGAAGATTTTAAACTGAATAGAGTTAGGTGCATTGAATCAGACTAGAGCACTAAAAATGGGGGGGGGGCAAATCTGTAAAATTGAAAAGAATTAAATTAAGACCCATTTATTTGGTAAGCAGCAATACGTAAACACAGAAATGCTTGAACCAACAATAGTAAGATATAATCATTTTCAGAATGACTATAGAAAGGCATAGATATTCGTTGTATAAGTGAGTTTTCTTGAAACCAAATGTACATGTCTTGATGTCATGAAGTATTACGCAGAAATCTTCAAGGAATAAATGACTTTATTTTTCCATTATTCTGAAAATTTCCATTCCATTTAGAATCCTGTAATACAAACAAAAATGAAGTGATTTCTGATACTTATGAATAAAATTATTCCTTGCTAGTGTGAAGTACAAAGGAGTATTAACAGGTACCATAAGCAAATACCATCATTACTGAGTATTTACTTGTAACACATACATAATTGTGCTAGTTTCCTTAAGAGTTAGCAGTTTAACAAGAGGATGCCTCTATGCTCAAGTGAATGTCATTAACAGAATAATTCAAGTCTGAGGGGGCAAACTCTTAAAACATGTGCTTTCTATCAATGGGTAGTGATAAGAAGACTGTCAATACTTGAAAATATTGTAGTAATATAACCTTTGTTAAAATAGATTGATGAATACACCACGTGTACTTACACATAGTGACTAGGGATAATTTATAGGTCAGAAGAGATCAGTAGGTTTATTTTTGGGCATATACTGTAATTTTTCCCCAAATATGTCAACAATTTTATTGCAGGGAGGAACACAAACCTGAAACACTGGCTTATCATTTTTCTGAAATGAATGGAAAATTTGTTCTAGAATAGTATTACAGTTGTTATCAATGAAGTCCGTGATTTAGGATAAAGACTGATAATCCTGAAAAGAAGTGGAGCTTTAAGCTGTTTCTTTCTAAATATTTTAGTTGCTCGGTGGCCTGAGAAGTTGATCTCTCTTAGAAAAGAGCCTTTCTCTGCTGCATTTTGAGATGTTCAACCGAGCAGAGCTCTTGACAGCATACTTTTTTGACATTGTTAACTTTAATGATGAGGACTCTGGTTAAAAGTACAATTCTGCTTGTGCCAGCTGCAGGTCAGGTCTGCAACTCTGCTGACCATAGCTGGCCTTGCCTGAGATGACTGAGGAGGCCACCTCAGCTTCACATATCTCATTCTTCAGCAGGTTAGCTCAGGCATGGCCTTCCAACCTGAGGGCCCATTCACACAAGCCCTTTTCAAGCCTCTGTCTGTCTCACATTTGTCAATCTCCCATTAGCCTAGAGCAGGTCAGTGACCAGGAGTCAAGGGGTGGGCAGCAGGCCTGCACAGAATGAAAGGGCTCTGCAAATAGACACAGAGAAGGGCATGGAAGGGAATAGGTGAGAAGAACTGACGATATTAAGGCAATCCATTCACCATACATTTCATCTAAATGTAGAGCATATAGAAATCTAAAGCAAGGATTAAAAGAAAATTAATTTTTAAAGAGACTACCTTTCTACTTCCATATTAGATGAGTTTCTCATTGACAATTTTTAATTCTTATAAATTTTAAATAAATAAATGTAAAACTATTCTACTAAAATGAGTCAGTAAATAAATCTCCCCTGGACAAAAAAAAAATGTAATCCATAAGAATAGAAACCGTGCTTATATTCACCTCTTTAACTGCAACAAACAACCGTTCTGAACTTAAATAAATGCAAAAGGTCAGAAGAACAGCAAATAAACAAGCATGTCACATGATTTTCTTTTTCAATCAATATTTATTATTGTTTATTTATTCCTTATACAAAAAAAGATATGAGAAAGGTTTCCCTAAAAGTTATTGTAGAATTCTGTCCGTAGACAAACTGGAAATATCACTGCAATTAGTAAGCAAATAAATGTGTCTCTGAGAAACAGAATCTAATAAAGGCAGCATCTCTACAAACTAAGTTAAACACAATGATCTAAATGATTCAAGACCCTATAAAAGCAACACTGAGATGGAGAGATTGATGGCGATTAATCATCTTGCTTGTCTTCATTCAGAAAAATTACTGGATAATTACCACTTCATTTTCCTACTTAGGCACCATCAAAAAGCCAGAATGTAGGGCTATTTAGTAAGACTGAGAAGAAATAGGAAGACTTTGGGCCCAGCCCTCACATGCACAGTCCAGAAGGCGAGGAGGAAAACATGCGCTCCTCGACCTGGAAGTAGATGGACCGCCTCTGTTTACTTCCTGTCAATCAGAACTTAATCACATAGCCATGCCTCTCAGGGAGGGGAGCTAGGAAGTATGGTGTTCATTCTCAACAGTCCATGCTCAGATAAAAGTTGGTAGCTCTATGCCATTGCAGTGGGAGGAGAAAATCAATTTTGGTGGAATATTGGGGGAAGCGAATGGAATCTCTCTCACAGCAGGAACCTCCTGAGTGGGCCCTTTGAGCTCTTAGAGAGTTCTCAAACATTTCACCCTTTCGTTATTCATGGAAGAGCAACAACTCTAAGGACTGAATCCAGGAATTGAACCCTCCACTTCTACATTCTTGGAACTCCCACCACTAACAAGTAGTAGGAACACTGTCACCAAAGAAAAGAAAACGGAAAATCAGAGGGGAGCCTCTGCACATGTCTTATGTCCCACCACTAATGTGAGCTGAAAAGTGCTTGATGATCACAATGGGTAGTCCTGAGCCCCAAATATGCTGGTAACAGAATGTTTACATGCTAAAAAGGAAGTCAACAAAAGTCAAAGTGAGGAAAAATGTCAATATCCGCAGCAGTTCAGAAGGCTTAGCTCCATGAGTTAAGAAACACATTGAAATGGAGTCACTTTATATTACTGGTGACCACAGCCTCTTCTTTTTCTTCAAAATGGCTGAGAATTTCTCTGGCAGAAACAGGCAAAATAAAAGTTGGGACTGGTGCAATGAGGAAAGGTAGTCACTGTTGGCTCACTTGCTAGGCATTGGATGCACAAAATTACTGTTTTCCAATATTTTTATCATTTGATCCCTAGATTCATCTGGAGATAAATGATGTAGTTTACTTTAAATATGTTTGTCACCCTGCCCCACATCCTTGGTCTTATCCAACACACTAATTACACAATAGATCCAATAGTAACATAATAGGGTCCTTTCTAACAACCCAGTAATCCTAATGCTTAAGGAAGGAAGTTAATAATGAGTCTTGTAGACATTTTAATAGCAGGTATAATTTGGTATTTGGGGGGTAGGGGTATTGAGGAGTCTCTTGTTTGTTTTGTTTTGGTTTTTATGTAGGTGAAAAAGAAGCAAATGTACCTTCCAACTTCATGGCAACAAAAACGTATAAATTTGTTTCATTTCTCCCAATCTCAGTGCTGTAGTTTGGATCCTTATTGATCCCCAAAGGCCCACGTGATAAAGGCTTGATCCCCAGCTTAGTGCTATCGGGAGGGAGTAGAAACCTTCAGAGGAGGAGGTCTTAGGTGATTGGAGGTGTGCTCCCAAAAGGAATAATGGGTCACAGGCCTCTCCCTCTGCTTCCCTTTTGCTTTCCTGCCATGAGGAGAATGGCTTGCTCTGCTACACACTACCCCCCCATAACATGCTGCCTCACCACAGGCCCCAAAACAATGGGCTTACATAACTATGGCCCGAATCTTCCAAATCATAAGCCAAACCAAACCTTTTCTCTTTATAAGTTGAGTATCTTAGGTATTTGTCACAGTGCTGGAAAGCTGACTAACACATTCAGATTTAGTTCTCTTTGTGACCTAAACCAGTATAGGCCTGCCCCAAACAGGACCTTTCACCAATCATAAAGTGTAAATGAATGGATGCTTAGGTAATGGTGCTAGGAATTTGTCTTATCTGACGTTGAAAGGACAACCATCATGATTCTTAGACTTGAAGTCATTAAGAGTGATAACCACAAGTGCTGTTTTGTGCTTTTCTCTCCAACCCAGCTGTGAAGTTCGGGAGGATGTCCAAGAAGCAGAGGGACAGCCTGTATGCTGAGGTGCAGAAGCACCAGCAGCGGCTGCAGGAGCAGCGGCAGCAGCAGAGCGGGGAGGCGGAAGCCCTTGCCAGGGTGTATAGCAGCAGCATCAGCAACAGCCTGAGCAACCTGAGCAATGAGACCAGCGGCACTTACGCCAACGGGCATGTCATCGACCTGCCCAAGTCTGAAGGTTACTACAGCGTAGACTCCGGTCAGCCATCCCCCGATCAATCAGGACTTGACATGACTGGAATCAAACAGATAAAGCAAGAACCTATCTATGACCTCACCTCCGTACCCAACTTGTTTACCTATAGCTCTTTCAACAACGGGCAGTTAGCACCAGGGATAACGATGACAGAAATCGGTGAGTAGGAGTCTCCTCCAAGTTTCACTTTTGGAAGTTCTGCTTTGAAGTCACCTTGGTCCTATCTAAATAGGGTCATTTTCTTAGATGTAAACTGAATGATTTGCCCACGTGGCTTCTACGGAGAAAGTAAAGTGACCTTGAAATACATTCTAATAAATTGTCATTGTTCCCTTGCCCTCATAAAAGTGTATTTTGAGCAAAGGAAAAAAGAAAAAAATCATAAATAGAAAGATGCTATCTATAAAGAAAGAACAGATGCTATCTGTTTGAAACCGGGTTCTCAGTGATGAAAAAAAAAAAGGTTATTAGTATAAACAGAGAAGTTTTAGCATGGATCCAAAGCAATGCTCTCCAAAGCCATATAGGCCCTAAGGGATGTAGAGGCAATGTGGAATGACCAAATGAACAGGGGTCCTCTCTCCCTCTTAAGATAGTTGGGGACAACCTTGAGCAATCGGTCCTTCATTTTCCCTCTTTGTAAAGACTGGGGGTAGACAAAAAGACTGCTAAGATTATCATAAATCTGAATTCATGAATTCCACATGGGATTCTTAATGACAGCCAGGAAGAGTGTGGTCTGGAATGTTACAGAACATGAGTGACAAATGAGCTCATCACAGGCGGGCCCCATCGCATCAGCAACCTGATCCATTGGGGGCAACTGTGCCTTTCAGTTCCCAGGGAGTGATCCTCCAGAGGCCCCGTCCGTCCGTCCGTTGGAGGCAAGCTCACTTCCGACCTGTTGCCACTCTGCTTCACCCTGTTAAGCTCAAGAGTCCATTGATTGTTTAACTGGTTAATCTCGTTAACTAGCTGCCATAAAAATATTGACATGGAATTAACACATGGCCCTCCTGGGTACCAGAGTCACACTTTCCTAGCAGATTAGGAGAGTGAAACCAACAGTGGCCATTCGAGGCTCCAAGGTTGTCATTTACTGAACTAGGAGAAGCAACATAGGGCTCCAGAATTTTGAGTCTCCTCCCTTCCCACCTAAGAGGTGGCAGAGCAGAGGGTCTACCAACCAGGCTCCCTGAGTTCAAATCCTGTCTCTGTAGCTTATGACTTAAACTAGAACAAGCACTTCAATCCCAGTTCACCCATCTCTAAAAGGGAAAAAAGCATTAGTTCATAGCTTCTGGGGACGTTGCAAGAATTACAACACTTGGCAAGTGCTTGAAAGCTCTTAGAATTTTATTATTTATATGCCATTATTTATTCATTATTATTATTACTTATATGCCATGTGCTCAGTCACCTTCAAATGGGTGCATAAAACTCACAAGAGCTTTAAATTAAGTTGTTGTGAATGCATAGTGAGATCCATGGTCATATTCTTGGCTAGCTGTGCCATCTGGTTGAAGAAGGAGCCATGTGACACAAGTTATAAACCTGAAATGTTGTTTCTCCCTTTCAGCAGCTCAGAGCATGACAGTGAGTACAGCTGTTGACAGAGCACAACCGAGGCAGGAAGCCAAACATCAACTGCAATAGCAAAGTTTCTCGATTTTCTCATTATCCTTAACTTATACTGCATCACAGGCACTTCTCAAATATTTAATTCTCACAAACATCTGAAGAGATAAGTAAAAAATGTTGTTCCCACTTGACTGTGGAAACAGAGGCTTAGAGTTGTCTTGTGAGTTCCCAGGGTCCTACTATTATTCTCTGTGATACAGCCAGGGTAGCCAGGGTAGCCAGTGTCCACCCCAGGCAGTCTGAAGCCAGGGTCCTCATGTTCATCCATTAACCTGCTGCTTACTAGGGGTTTAATGTGCACAATCTGTATTGTCAACTGAAAGGGTCAGTCTTTTTAAATGAACAATTTTTGTTGTTGTTGTTATTTTCTTTTTTACATGCTGTTCCAAAAGGGCTTATAAAAAAAGAAAATAACAAAGTCACCACTTTTTATACTATTACTTAATATGTAAGTGCTTGAGTCTATCATTGGCTTGGAACATGTTTAAATTCTAAAGAAACAAAAACTCACAATTGTTAGGCAATCTTTCTGCATAGACATGGACACACAGAATTAACTAGAATATATTCCCCGTGATTATTTCAACATATCGTTAGTTTTTACAGATCTCTGCATATGCTCTAAATTTTGGAGGCATCTTTCATCAGACTTTAAGGGGTGCATTTAGGTTGTCCTGCGAGTGCTTCCAGATTTAGCAGACAGGTCCTAAGTCTAAATATTGACTTGGTTCACATGTTATTAAAACAGCAATGCCACCTAGTGGACACAAACCCATGCTATGCATATTTATTTAATCTAGGTACCTATGACAAGCCGCAACTGTGATGCAATATTTCCTAAACAAAATATTGCCACTCATTTCACTAACTCACTAAGTCCATAATAGTGCCATCATGCAGGGAGGCATCATTAGCTTATTGTGGTAATTAAGAACTCTGGCTCTGGAGTTAGACTGCCAGAGTTCAAAACCTGGTTATGCCTCTTCCCTTGGGCAATTTGCTTGATCTTCCTGTAAACCTGGGCCAGTAGTAGTCCTTGGGAAGGGGAATTTAAATGAGCTAATATTCATGACTCTTTAGGACAGCATCTGTTATACCTGTAATAAAATAATTGATATTATAATTACTAAGATCACTGGTTATATCAGGAAATATAATGATTTTTTACTGAGCACCAATTCTGCTAAGCAAAGTTCTATATTTAATTCTTATGTCAATCTTAGTAGGCCTATTCATTAGTCTACTCATTAGTCTACTCATTTTACAGATGTAAAATTGGGCTCAGGAGTTATATAACTTGGTAAAAACAAAGAACACATGTCTAGTAATATCCAAACCCATTCTTTTAACCATTGTGTAGTATATTTCCTCTCATCATAAAAAGGAAACCGATCACAAGCTAATTGGCATTCCCACAGCAAAACATGCTTAATATTTGTTGTGTACCTGAAGTCCTTCGAGGTGGAAGGAACTGGAGCTTACTGAGTCTGCCTGCTGACATTTTGACTCAATTTGATTAGTAAATATCTAAGCCATGCTGGTTAGTAGCAAGCTGTCATAGAAAGAACCCTGTGCAGAGAAAACAGGAAATCTGATTTTTAGCCACACTCTGACTGGGTGAATGTGAGGTTGTATCACACCAAAGAATTGTTTAACATCGTTCTTGGTAACTAGAAGTCCTGATCTACTTCTTCTGGTTTTGGAAAGAATGATGAAATCTGTACAACTAGGTCATTATTTTAAAATTGAGTCATCTATAAAACAGATCTTTAAAAATAAAACAGTGTTTAGATAAGTGTATGCAGAATAAGGTATTAGAGTTTTGAAATTTTAATAAAAGTACATGTTAATAAACCATAACACAATTACATAAGCAACTACATTCAAATCCCAAGACGTCAGTTACATGAATGTTATCAGAGTCAGGAATATCTACCAAGAAAACAACTTCTTTTACTCCAAGGGCACCGAAGGAATTCAAACTTCCTAGGTTACTGACCCCAGCAATAACACTGCATATATAAAAGGAAATAAAGAAAAGACTTTTGTATCCTTTAGTCATCTTGAGCTTTACATCAACATGTCAGGTCAGCAGTGAAGAAACTATCTCATTGTCCAGATGAAGAAATTAAGGGTCACAAATAATGAGAGACTGTCCTTGGGCACAGAATTAGCTGTGTGCTAAAGTTCATTCTAACTGAAACCATTCCACTACCCTAGACTGCCAGGCATTCTTTCAAAAACTTATTTTTGAAATGTTCCACACACTCAACACAAGCAGCACATGGTTTCTGCCCTCACCATCTGAGAAATGCACAGGAAAATAAGTAATTACAATTCAGAGCGTCATAGGTCATGAGTCCTGGGGAATCCTGGGCAGTCCTGGGCATCCTGGGATTGCATCCTTTTGGAGATGAGAGTTGGTTCCTTCGGGAGGTGGTGGGAATCCGTTACTCTGAGCCACCTCTCTCATGAGGAAAGTTTCATTCCTGAAATGTTGAGAATAGAAAGCAAAACGTAGGTAAGAGAAAAGAAATGAAATTAGAAAATTAGAAATTAGACACCTGGGTGTTTCAAAATCTCAAAGGAGAAAGACACCGTGAAATAAGAGGACAGACATCAGCTGTCAATTAATATTTAGTCAGCAGTGTTAATCGGGCTCAGCTGGAAATGTTCTTCAAGCTCTCCCATGCATGTGTTGTATGTTTTGAGAATAAAAGGAGTTTGCAGTGCTTGGTGATAGAGGAAGTTAGTTAAAGAAGACTCAGCAAACAAGCAGGCAAAGGAAGTGGAACCTCTTTTCTTGTTTGCTTTCCTCCATTAAAGCTCTTGAGATGGTTTGTGGGATTCTGCAGGTCTAATACTCTTAATGAAAGCTCATTTAAGCTGAGATGTGATTGACAATGTATCTAGAGATACCAGATAGCAAGACTATTCGAACCGCCAAAAACATCCTTTAAAGAAGACAAAATATCCATCAAATTCCCTGTAATGCTAGGAGATAAATTGCCTTTTACACATATCACCTGAGTTTGGTGTTCTGCCGAATAATTTTCTCTCCAGATAAAGACAATGGAAAGTAAATTCATTGGTCTCCTCCTATACAATCTTAAACCCAGATTTATTTTCATGTGCCTTTGTGTTCTATTCATGGAGTTTGAAATTTTAAGTATCAAAAATAAAAATAAAAACCTCATTTTAAATGCACGTATTGTGAAAGCGAAGGATTAACAGAGGAGATTACAAAAAGGCCAAAAAGTGATGTAGTCCCTGAAATATATTATTTCATTCTGTCAAGGCCACAGAAAAACACATAAGATATTACCAGTAGTGTTTATTTGGCACACTTCTATAGAAGTAGATGTTGTGATTGCTGCTTATTAAGAACCCCAAGCAACTGCTATAGTCTTAAAGGAACACTTTTAATGATATGCGTTTTTACAAGTAAATATTTTACAGCTGCTTAAAAAGTATACATAGTTAACTATCCATGCATAAATGGTAGAGAGAAGTTGACT